GGAAAGAGAAAAACATTGATGTGAGAAGACACATCAACTGGTTGCCTCTGGCATGATCTGACCAGGGCTAGGGACGAACCGCAACCAAGGTACATGCCCTTGACTGGAATAGAACCTGTGCCTCTTTGTTCTGCGGGCCAACACTCTAACCACTGAGCCAAACCAGCCAGGGCTCTTTTGAAATTTTATGAGTTTATTTGAACCAAACCAATGACATATGCCAGGGAGCAAGATCTTAAATGCTCTTTGGGTCTAATTTTTATTATTTCCTTCTTTCTGCTGACTTTGGGCTTCATTTGTTCTTTTTCTAGTTCTTCAAGATGTAATGTTAGGCTGTTAATTTGGGATTATTTTTGTTTCTTGAGATAGATCTGTAATGATATAATCTTCCCTTTTATTACTACTTTTGCTGTATCCCCAAAGTTTTGACATGTCATACTGTCATTCTCATTCGTCTCTAATGTATCTTTTGCTGTTTTATTTCTTCTTTTACCCAGTCATTATTTAGTAGCATGTTGTTTAATCTCCACACATTTGTGTTTTTTGTCCAATTTCTTTTCACAGTTGACTTCCATTTGTAAAGCAATCATCAGAGAATATGCTCAGTATGATTTCAATCTTCTTAAATTTGTTGAGGCTAGTTTTGTATTCAAACGTGGTCTATCCTGTAGAATGTTCTGTGTGTACTAGATAAGAATGTATAATTTGGTGTTCTGGGGTAAAAGGCTCTGTAAATGTTGATTATGTCCAATTGGTCTAAAGTGTCATATAAGGCCAATATTTCCTTAGGATTTTGTTTGAATGATCTATCCATAGCTATCAATGGGGTATTTAGGTCCCCTACTATAACTGTGTTTTTGTCAGTTTCTTTCTCCCTTTAGTTCATTAATAGTTGAGATATATAGTAGTTGGTGTATATAAACATATATATGTATGTGTGTGTATATGCATCTTGATGTTACATCTTTTTTATTTTAGTACTTTTATTTATTTCTTTTTATTGTTAAAAGTATTACAGATGTCCCCCTTTTCCCCCCATTGACATCCTCCTTCCTGCTCCCACCCCACTCCTGCTTTCCCCAACCTAATGTTTGTGTCCATATAAGTTCTTTGGTTTATCTCTTCCCACCCCTCCCACATCCTTCTGAGGTTTGTTAGTCTGTCCTCAACTTCCATGACTCTGGATCTCTTTTGGTCAACAGTTTATTTTGTTCATTATGTTCCATAAATAAGTGAGATAACGAAGTACTTGTCTTTCTCTGACTGGCTTCTTTTGTTCAGCATAATACTCTTCTTGATGTTTTGTGCCCTTTAACATTATAAAATGTTCATCTTTGTCTCGTTACCTTCTTTTATTTTGAAATTTATTTTGTCAGACATAGGTACAACTACATCTGCTTTTCTCTGGATGCCATCTGCTTAGAGTATCATTTTCTACCTTTTCACTTTGAGTCTATATTTGTCCTTGCAGCTGAGATGTGTCGCCTGGAGGCCGAATAAAGTTGGGTTTTGTTTTTAATCCAATCCACCACTCTTGTGCCTTTGTATTGTTGAGTTCAATCCATTGACATTTAGGGTGATTATTAACATATGAGGATTTCCTATAGCCATTATGTCTTTTGTCTTTGGTCACAAATTATTCCTTTTTATGCTGCCAGTTCATTTCCAAATTGCAGTAGCTCTGTGTCTCCACTGCTTCTTTTCCCTTGAGTATCTGTTTATTATTATAGTTTGGTAATGTTCTGTGATTTTTTTCCCGTTTCCTCTTTTTATGTTATTTGTCTCAGTTCTAGGTGTTTGTGTGTGTGATTACCAGTAGATTTATGCAAAAGAAAGTTTCATATATACAGTAGTCCTTTTTCTATTGAATGCATCTTATCTCTATCCCTCTTTGCAAATTCAGACCTTTATCCTCTCCTGTTGTTTTTGTTGTCACAAATTATTCCTTTATATGCTGCTAGTTCATTTCCAAATTGCAGTAGTTATTGTCTTCTCTTTTTTAAGTGTTTTTACCTCCTTTAATCTTTATGTTATCAAGGGTACAATCCCTATTCTAAATAAAGGTCGCAATTTCTTGCAGTTTTGTATCCTTTTGTCTTTTTGTTTCAGGTAGAATAACCCCCTTCAATATTTCCTGTAATGCAGGTCTTGTGGTGATAAATTCCCTCAGCTTCTGCATGTTTAGAAAAGTCTTTATTTCTCCTTCATATCTAATGGATAACTTTGCAAGACATGTTATTCTTGGCTGGTAATTTCTCTTTCAATAGTTTGTATACTTGATTCCATTCTCTCCCAGCTTGCAGGAATTCTACTAGAAAACCCAATGACAATCTAATACAATTTCCTTTATAGATCAGCATCTTCTTTTCTCTGGATGCCTTGAGCATTCTTTCTTTATCATTATTATTTTACAGTTTTAATATAGTGTTACTTGCAGAAGGCCTTTTTGGATTGAGATAATTAGGTGTTCTGTTTGCTTCTTGGATTCGAGGATCCAGCTCTTTCCACAGGTTTGGGAAATTCTCACTGACTGTTTGAATGGGCTCTGTTCCCTTCTCCCTCTCTTCTCATTCTGTTATACCCATTATTCTCGCATTGCTTTTTTTTTGATGAAGTCAGTTCTTCAAGAGCTCTTTAATTTTTTCTTTCTTTTTTTTTACTCTTAAGTCTTTCTTCTTTCATTTGTGTCATTTACTGTATTTCTAGATTTCTATCTTTGATTATCACTAATTTTTTCCTCCATCTGGTCAACTCTATTTCCTAACTTTGCCAGTTCATTCTCTATCTCTGGTATTAAGTTCTTCAGCTCCAGAATTTTCATTTAGTTCTTTTTAAAAGTTTTAATCTCTTTGGTAAAGGACTCATTTTGTTCACTAATTTTATTTCTGAGTTCATTAAACTACCTACCTGAGTTTTCTCATATCTTGTTGTGTTTTTTCAGAACTGCAGTCTTGGATTTCTGTCAAATAGATCACTGATTTCCATGTCAAAAGTTTATTTTTCATTTTCTTTCTGAGCTGCCTTGGTTATTCATGGGATTTGATGGATTATTTCTCTGCCTAGGCATTTATGGGAATAAAAGCTTCTTTTTAAAAAAAGTGACACTACACCAATCAGAAAGAATATATGTACCCCTATGTTCATAGCAGCACTATTTACAATAGCTAAGATCTGGAAACAACCCAAGTGTCCATCAGTAGATGAGTGGATTAAAAAGCTGTGGTACATGTACACAATGGAATACTATGCGGCTGTGAAAAAGAAAGATCTCTTATCCTTTGAGATGGCATGGAAGGACCTGGAGAGTGTTATGCTAAGCGAAACAAGCCAAGCAGAGAAAGACAAATATCACATGATCCCACTTATTTGTGGAATATAATGAACTAAACAAACTGCTGAACAAAATTAACCCAGAGACATAGAGGTGGGATACAGACTGACAAGCCTCAGAGGAGGGGGGGTTTGTGGAGGAAGAGATAAACCACAGAACTTACGTGCATGTGTGCATGACCAATGAACAGAGACAACAAAGCTGGGGATGGGGTAGGGCCCGCTGCTAGCTCTGGGAAGGTGAGGGGATGCAGCCAGGCTCCATGGCTTTGTTTTCTGCCTGGCAATGGTGGCTGCTAGACCACAGTTGCCACATCTCCGTGTTCTGTCTTTGCCCCTATCACTGGGTTCAGTCGCAGTATGTGCTGACCACTCAGGCAGGAATGTTGATTTTCTCTCTCTCCTCAGGGCTGCAGACTGTGCATGCTGCTACCTGATTCCTCCCCTCTCCTGAGACCCACAGTGAGCTCCAGGCTGCATCCATGGCAGCCATCTCTGCTCTTCCTGCTTCCCTCCTTCTTTGTTCACTCTGATAGCCCACCTTCAAGTGTTATGATACACAGATCTCTCAGATGTGGTTGTGTGTTGAACAGGAAATCCTTTGTTGAATTATAACTGTTCAATTTGTAAATTCAAGGGCAGAGACTGGGGGCCCTCTAACAGTGCTATGCTTCTGACATCACTCCAAACAGAAATGTTTAATCCTGTATTTATACTAAGCCCTCTACCCAGAAGACCTTGCCCCTTTCTCATTTTGCTGGACACTGGTAACATATTATTTAAAATTCAGCTAGGCGCCTGGCCGGGTGGCTCACCAGTTGAGCATCGACCCATGCACCAGGTGGTTGTGGGTTCGATTCCCAGTCAGGATGGGCCCAATCCCCAGTGGGGGGCATGCAGGAGGTGGCCAATCGATGTTCTTTCTCATCAATGATTCTATCTCTCTCTCTCTCTCCATTCCTCTCTCTAAAGTCAATAAAAAAAATATTTTAAAATTCAGCTAGGCATCATTTCCTCCAGGGACTTTAACTAATTCCCCAAGGTAGATTAGGTGCCCATTTCTGAGCTTTCAGAATATACTCTGCATGTAACTTTTTTTCATTGTCCTGCATACTGTAGATTAGAGCACAGTGACAGATTCAGTACAACCATCTATTGTTCAGCTCCTAGAAGGCAGGTCTGGGCAGTACTGGACAGGCCATACATTCTGATATGCCTGGGTCAGGTTCAGTTACTCCTCTTTTTCACTCCCCAAAGTGTCCTGGATTGAAATATATAGTAGACGGTCACCCTATTTATCACCCGCTTTATATCCTCAGTGGCTAGTACAGCAGCACACACAAAGCAGGTGATCAACAAAAGCTGTTGAATAGAATGGATACAAAGTAGATGATAAGCCTTTGCTTCCAACATTCCATTCAAACCTGAAATGCTTTGTGATTTCAAGCATAAAAAAACTAATTCCTGCTAAATTTTACAATAGGGAAAACAAGTGAAGTATTCACTCCAAATATATATATATATAAAAGTATCATTATAAAAATAAGTGAACTGTCTAAAACACAAACTTCTCTACGAGACTGTATGTTTCTCATGCCATAATAACCACAATACTCCCAATTTTTCTGCCGAGAACATCAACAAAAATTAAACATTTCATCAATTCTTACTTTTCCAAAGGGCAATTTAATTTTTTCATGTTTCTATGGAATCGTAAGGCTTGAATATCTTGTGTCTCTATTTTGGGAGGTAGAAGTCCTTGAAGACCAAGCATTTGTCGTTCTCGTAATGTAAAGGCCATTCCCTAAAAAGGAGAAATAAAAAGATTAAAAATTATTACTTACTGGTGTAGCAGTAGTGATGTCCCAGAAGACACAATTTAAACATAATTTTTTAAAAAATCAGTGAGATATCATTTTGCTCAGACTGTCGGCAATTTATAAGATTGATCATATCTAATATTGGAGAGGGTGTGGTAAAAGAGTTACTCTCACATACCATTGCTGGAAATGTAAACTGATTTAGGCTTTTGGGAAGACAATTTTAAAGTAACATTAACTTTTTAATTATATACACTCTATCATAAAGCAATTCTACCTCTAGAATGTCATCCTAAATAAATATACATACATAAAGAGGCATACCGAGAGATTTGTTCTAGCGCTGTTTCTAGTTCTCTTGGCTATTACAAATAAAAATTCCATCAATTATGGAACAGTTAAGGAACCTATGGTATTTCTACACCATGAAACACCATCACCCTTAAACGTATAACTCTGTTTGTCATAGAAAGACCTCCCAGACATGCAGTTAAGAGAAAACAAAGCAAGCTGCATATCAAAACACACTTACTGTAAACTGTTATGTTTAGAAAATCCCTATAAAGAACATATACACAAATGCATCATACATTAGAAATGAAATCAACAGAATATAGTTTAAAAGAACATAAACCAAATTGATAAGAGAGGCTACCCCCACTAGAAAGGAGTGAGGCCGAGCAGAAGGAGGAAGGAAGAAATGATACTCGAGAAAAAATTAACCTATATCCTAAGAAAATCTTCAATTTCTGGTATTCAACTGTGGGTTCAATTCTTTGAATCAAAGTGATGTCAGTGAAAATGCCAGAGCAAGGACTTCCAAAAATCACTTCCTCCATAAAAGCAGTAAGAACACTGGCCAAATGATCAGAATTAACTGTTTTCAGAATTCTGGAAATGAACCAGAGGCTTTAGCAATAGGGAGCATTTATTCAAGAAAAACTGCTGAATTTCATCAAGAGTAGCAAGCTTCATGGCATTTTAACTTGCCTATCTACTCTCTCCTCACCAACTCCACAGCAGCCTGGAAAACAGCAATCACCATATAATAACCACTTTGAAAACCAGAGTCTGGAATCCGCAGAAGTGGGTGGAAGGGGGTTGGAAATTCTTCTAAAGACACAGGGAACTGTTATTATTTGACCACTCTGGTGGTTCCCTGGAACAGCCCTTTTGCAAAGCTGTCTTTAACTCGATTTGGAGCTCACCCAGTGTGAATAGCCTTTTTCCTCAGAAGAGCTTGTTAAAAAGAGTAAGAGGCAATTATTTAACATGGCAGCTCCCTAAGGTGGTGAGTAACAGATGAGGCAAACAACAGACTAACCAAAAAGCTGAAAAGGAAAATCTAAGGAACCAGATGTCCATGGAGGGACTTTGAAAACCTTGAACATATTCCTAAGAATGTAGAAGGTCATGTGCATGAGCTGTATTCATGTCTGGAAAAGACTTGAGAAGACTCCAAGTTCCACCTCTGGCTAAAGTTGAGGCTCTATGTTAGTAGGAAGTGAGGCCTGAGACCTAGTTGTAAACTGCCTGGCTGAGCACTGAAGGTATGCCCCAACCCATACACATAGTCACTTGGCAAACTTATTGAGAATGTCAATAAAGAGATAGAAAATATAAAAAGGAACCAAACAGAAATTCTGGAGTTGGAAGTACAATAACTGAAATTTAGAAATTCACCAGAAGAGCTAAATGAGATTCAACCAAGTGAAAGAATCAGCAAACTTTAAGACAGATCAGCTGAGATTATCCTGCCTGAGAAACAAGAAAACACAGTGGATAAATATGAAGAGCGCCTCAGAGACCTGTGGGATACCATCAAGAGTGCCAACATATGCATAACGTGAGTCCCAGAAAGCGAGGGGAGAAAAAGAATATCTAAAGAAATAATGACTAAAAGCTTTTCAAATTTGATCAGAAACATTAACCCACACATCCAAGCAGCTCAACATCACCTATGAGAAAAAACTTGGAGATCTACATCTATACACATCATATTCAAACAGAAAGCAGAGATAAAAGGCTCAACAGACATATAGGGGATCCTCAAGCAGAGTAACATCTAGTTCCTTATCAGAAACCATGAAAGCCATAAGGCAGTGGGATGACATACTCAAAGTGCTGAAAAATAGCCTGTAAAATTGTATACTACAATTTTTAAAGTAATTTTTAAGAGTATAATGGCAAAATAAAAATAGATGATATATTGGGGTGGTAGAAATGTGATTTTCCTTCTTTTAGTTGTCATAACATTATCTGTATAAACAACAAGAATTATAAGAAATATTTAAATTAGTTTTTCTCTTAGAGAACTAGCTGGGGAAATTAATAACAAACAAAAACCCTCTCAAGAACTGAGAAAACCACAGCTCCAGATACAAACCAGGAAGTGAAAACTTCCCAGAGGAAAAGATGCAAAGCTGTTACAAAACGTATTAGGAAAATTACTCAAATGAGCACGGGGAAAGGAGAAATTCAGCCTTTCACTTGTATAACCCCTTGAATGTTTCAAAATGCTACTATTAACTACATTATTTAAGTGAGAAAGCTGAAACCTAGAGAGGTTAAATGACTTTCCTAAGTTTCCTGGCTGGTGAACAGCAGAGCTCAAATTAGCATCTAAGTATAAGGACTTCTAAAAAATATATTAAAAATTTCATATTCATTTCATATTCAAGTTCATACAAACAGAAACAGACTACTGGTTGCCAGAGGCTAAGGAAGGGAAGGGGAAAACAAGGAGTGACTGCTTAATGGGTACTGGGTTCCATTTCAGTAATGAAAAGTTTTGGAAGTAGATAGTGGCAATGTATGCACAATATTGCATGTACTTGATTCACCGAATTGCACATTTTTAAATAGTTAAAACTGTAAATTGTATATTATGTTTACTTTACCATAACGAAAGTTTTACAGACATATTAACAGGTAAACCTTCAGTAGATGGTGATTACAGACATACATTTAAAAGGATTAAGAATTCAGTACTGCCTTGTTTTTTTCCTGGTACACTTTGCATTGTTTTTTGTTTTGTTTAGTTTTTTCCTTTTTTAAACTTATCTTTATTGTTGAAAGTACTACAGATGTCCCCCATTTCTGGCCCAATTGACCACCTCCTCCTTGCTCCCACCCCCCTTTTGCCTTCCCACACTATTATCTGTGTCCATTGGTTATGCATATATGCATATAAGTTCTTTGGTTTATCTCTTCCTGCCCCCTTATCTCCCCTTCCCTTTGAGGTTCCTCAGTCTAACAGCCAATTTGTACTTCTTAATCCCGTCATCTTTTTCACCCATCCCCCCAAATGCCCTCCCATCAGGCAACCAACAAAAAGTTCTTTGTATCTGAGTGTTTCTGTTCTGCTTATTCATTTGCTTTGTAGATTCAGTTGTTGAAAGATACGTATTTATTGCCATTTTATTGTTCATATTTTTGACCTTCAAGAAGACCCTTCAACATTTCATATGATACTACTTTAATGGTGATGAACTCCTTTAGCTTTTTCTTATCTGGGAAACTGTATATGTCCATCGATTCTAAATGATAGCTTTGTAGGATAGTGTAATCTTGGTTGTAGATCCTGGCTTTTCAACACTTTGAATATTCTTGCCACTCCCTTCTGGCCTGCAAAGTTTCTTTTGAGAAACCAGCTGACAGTCTTATGGGAACTTTCTTGTAGGTAACTAACTGCTTTTCTTCTGCTGCCTTTAAGATTCTCTCTTTGTGTTTAACCTTCTGCATTTTTATTATGTGTCTTGGTGTGGGCCTCTTTGGGTTCATCTTGCTTGGGACTCTGTGCTTCCTGGACTTGTATGTCTGTTTCCTTCACCAAGTTAGGGAAGATTTCTGTCATTATTGTTTCAAATAGGTTTTGAATTTCTTGATCTCTCTCTTCTCCTTCTGGCACCCCCATGATGTGAAAGTTGGTACACTTGAAATTGTTCCAGAGGCTCCTTACGCTATCCTCATTTTTTAAAATTATTTTTTCTTTTTGCTGTTCTGATTGGGTGTTTTTTGGTTCCTTCCAAATCAATTATTAGCTTCTTGGCTTTACATACTCTATTTATTCCCTATAAATTATTCCTTATTTCAGTGCATCCTTCATTTCAAACTGTTTTTTTTTAATGTTGCTGATGTTCTCATTAACTTCCTTGAAGTTCCCACTAAGTTTCTTGAGCAACCTTATAATCAGTGTTTTGAACTCTGCAACTGATTGATTGCTTATCTCCATTTTGTTTAGTTCTTTTGCTGCAGTTTTGTTCTATTCTTTCATTTGGAACATGTTTCTTTGTCTCCTCATTTTGGCTGCTTCCTTGTGTTTGTTTCTATGTATTATGTAGAGCTGCTATGTCTACTATGCTTCATAGGGTGGCCTATTGTAGTAGATGTCTTGTAGAATACAGTGGCACAGCCTCCCTGATCACACTAGCTGGGTACTCAAGGTGCACCTCTAGTGTGGACTGTATACCCTTCTGTTGTAATTGAATCTTGATTGCTGTTGGCACATCAATGGGAAGGATTTATTCAGGTTGGTCAGCTGCAAGAACTGGCTGTGCCCACTGACCACTGGCCTCTGACTACCTTAAAGGATCAGCTGTGCAGGGTTTCACCACACAGAACAAGACTTACTTCAGCAGGGCTCTGATACCCACTGAGTCTACTCCTTGAGTGTGTCACATGTGGAGGTTGTTGGGTGGTGGTGCTCTGACGTGGTCTGAAGCTGTCCACTGGGTGCTAGCTCTGGGGCAAGGTCAGCCACTGCCTGTGTTCTACCTGGGGGCACTAGGTATAAGCTACAAAGCGATCTGAGCTACTTCTTGCACTGGGCTTGGAGGTGCCCAGACAAAGCCTAGCTGTGAACCAAGGTTGGCTGCTTCTAGTGCCAGGCCTGGGGCCACTTAGCAAAAGGTATGTCTCTGGCACTTTTCAAGTCGCCTCCCCAACGCTTCAGCCCAGAAGGCGCAAGTCTGAGTAAGTCCGTGCACGGGCCCTTTAAGAGGAACTACCTGGGACTCCAGAAGCCTCAGCCTCCCTCAGCCTGAGATCCTGCTGGTTTTTACACCCAGAAGTTATGGGGACTTCTTTTCCTGGCACTGGAACCTAAGCTGGAGGGGCCTGTTGTGGGAAGGGTCCCCTCACTCCCCACAGAGGACCTTCACAGCTGAGGTATCGGTCCTGATTTTTATCCACCACACGTGGGGGTGGACCAGCCTGTCTGCACCGCCACCTCTCCGACCCGTCTCCATGTGGCTTCTATTTTCATTTTGTAGTTGTGGGACTTCAATTCAGCTGGATTTCAGGCGGTTCTGAATGATGACTGTTCTGTAGTGCAGTTGTAATTTTGATGTGGCTGTGGGAGGAGGTGGGTACTACATTTACCCTCATTGCTATTGCCGCCATCTTGACCAGAAAGTCAGTACTGCCTTTAATTACTACTTTATTAATCACAGTAGCAACATACTCTTAAAACAGTACTCATAAACATTTTAAAAATTATTAATTCAGTCTACAATGTCTGAAGAATGAACCTGACTTCTTTTTAAAAAAATTTTTTTTTCCCTTTATTGATTTTAGAGAGAGAAGAAGTGAGAGGGAGAGACAGAAATATAGAAGAAAGAGAACATCAATTGACTGCCTCCTGCATGCCCCACACTGGGGATCGGGCCCACAACCTGGGCACGTGTCCTGACTGAAAATCGAACCAGCGACCTCTTGGTGCATTGCTCAACCACTGAGCAACACCAGCCAGATTGAACCTGACTTCTTTCCACGGTAAGCCCCCAAGGAGTTTGTGACCTCAGATTGAGAATCACTAGTCTATGCTCCTCCTTAAACATACAACCACAACAAAACAACTCTTCTTGATGCGTAAGGGATTCCCAGAAGTGGTCCTTCAATGAGGTAACCGTACAAGATGCTATTCACCCATAGAGATTTCAGAATGCCAGATCATTAGATTTTATTTTACACTGTAATGCATTTATACTATTTTCCTCCTTAAAATTCATTTCTCACAATGTACTTTATAAATTTCTTATAACCCTCACAAAGTAGGTTTTATATAGTTTCTATAATAAAATAAAACCAACACATTTATCAAATGTTTACTATACCCATGGCATTATAAAAGATATAAAGAAATTTTGAATGGTCCCTGCCCAAAAGGAACCTGAAATATAGTTAAAAAAATTAAAGTCATGAAAATGTAAATACTATCAATCATTTCAATGGTAGCTGAAGATATGAATAGAAGCACAAAACAACATAAAGATTATTTGCCACCAGAATAGGAAGATAAAAACTACTACAGGGAGCCATTATTCCAGTCTATGGTGGTGTGAAAAGGCTCAACAGATCTGGATTTTGAATGAGTTGTACATTGAAGAGCAAGTAAGATTTGTGGAGATGCGGCAGAAACAAGAGAAGATTAGAATATTCCTCATTAAACTTCATTTATTTCACTAACTGCTTGCTGAATTCTCATTCTGGCCAGGTACCAAAAATACAAAGATAAGATGCTCTGTGTGACCCTTAGTCAAATTCCTCTTTGTAGGAGTAGGCCCCAAACCCCTCAAAACATATCATACTATCCAATTATTTATCCCCCCACCACATATTGGAAAACAAATGGGATTGGCAATTTTTTTACTGTTGTTTTAAAATAAACCACACCTTGCCCTGGCCAGTGGTTAGAGCGTCAGCTCACATACTGAAGGGTTGAGGGTGTGTTTCCTGGTCAAGGGCATGATCTGGATTGCAGGTTCGATCCCCTGCCCCAGTTGGGGCGTATGTGGGAGGCAACCAATCCATGTGTCTCCCTCATTTCGATGCCTCTGTCTCTCCCTCCTTCCCTCCCTTCCACAATCTCTAAAAATCAATGGGAAAAAAAAAAATATCCTCAGGTGAAGAGTAAGAAAAAAATAAAATAAAATAAACATCACCTTAATCTGAATGTACCATTCTCAAAAGGTAAATTTCATATATTGCAATAAACCCATGTGTTGCAATAAACTTATGCATCCTCTTCCAAGCTTTCTGTAAGAAATCTCCTTCCACAATTATGTTTACTCACTATATAGCTTACTTACTATTGCTTCTAAAAAAATAGAGAAACTGCCCACTGAACCCAGCATGGATAAGGAATAAAGGCACTACTATATCTCAATATTGCCAAGCACTTCTGCCCCAAGACTGTAAAGAGGGTCGGAGGTCCCTCTTTTGAAGCAGTAGTGTGATTAATGGGCACTGTTGCTTGGGTGTAATGATGTGTGTTTAAAAAGCTGCACAAAGGTGGGGTAGACACTAGATAAAATTTCATCTTATAATTCTGACCCCATCTTCCAAGGGCTTGACTGATTTGGTCCAGGATGAGTACCTGATCTAAACTGGGTAAAACTCAATATCCCACACCTAGCCAAAAATCCTGGCCAGACTGCTATTCTGTAGATTTTTCTGGGTTAGAACTAAGAATAAAGTCATTCCTTTCCTGGTGGTAGTTGTGAGGGGTGAATTTTGAGAGGTATATAGCAGCCATGATTCTTGCCATATGGAGAAAAGTGAAAAGCTCATGCAGAAAAAGCAAATACCTCTGAATAGTTTTAGTATAAAGCTACAAAATAGAAACATTTCACTTTATCAGTCTAAAATCCATCAAATTAAACTGTTAACGGGACAAGAGAAAAGGTATGTTGGTAGTAATGTTACTAACCTTGTTTGTCCTTGGGTTCAACATAAGTGGCTTGCCTTTCTCTTTCGTGTGTATATGCCGGCAAGCCAGAGTACAAGGAGTGGCAACTATTCTCAACCGCGACAACATCTTTTTTTCACCTGAGAAAAACAAAGCAAATACAGTCAGACTTTGGCTCTCAACATCTCCCATCTTGAACAAAATGTCTCAGTTGTCGAGATAAACTTTGGTTCTCGACTTAACAACCCTTTCATGCTGATACCTGTATGGCCAGTCACGCAGGAGACAAAGGAGAGAATGTGAGAGTATGAGTCTGTTTACAGCCAAACCTTTCATGGTTAACGTCTCAGGAAGCTGGGCTGTGAATATTTTCTAATGGGAAAAATGATTCGGTTTTTTAACAAATCAGTTCTTGAAATGCCTTCCGGAATGAATTAAGTTAGAGAACTAAGGTTCAATTGTAAACCAATGCTGAGAGACATATTATAGAACTGCATGTACATCAGGTATCAGTTTTGGAAAACAGATTTAGAAAGCTTAACTTTACACATGTAAAAAATCTTTTTCGAAATACACTTATGTTTCTATAGACTGTACCGACTGCAAAAAGGGTAACGAACAATAGGTAAAGGCAAAGATTTACTTCTGACAACACTCTAAGTCCTTGGATAATCATTGTTGCTACTCCTAGGTATGTACTATAGTGTGCTTAAACACTTGCCCTTTTTCTAATCCACACAAGTGTGGCAAGGTATGTATCTCCCACTTATGAGAGAAAGGAATTGAGAGGTTAAGAAACAAGGTAGCCTTGGCTGGGTTGCTCAGTTGGTTGCAGCATCATCCTGTACACTGAAAGGTTGTGGGTTAGATTCCTGGTCAGAGCACATACCTAGACTGTAAATTCAATCCCGGGCTGGGGCATATACAAGAGGCAATTTATCAATGTTTCTCTAAAACCAACAAAAATACATCCTTGAGCGAGGATTTAACAATTTTAAAACTTTCCCTGGCCGATTTGGCTCAGCTGTTAGAGCGTTGGCCTGCGGTCCAAAAAGACCCGGGTTCGGTTCCCGCTAAGGGCATGTACCTCGGTTGCAGTTTGTCCCTGGCCTGGTTGGTCGTGCAGGTGGCAGCCACTCGATGTGTCTCTCTCTCTCTCTCTCCCCCTCCCGCTCTGTCTGAACAAAAAATGGAAAAATGTCCTCGGGTGAGGATAAAAAAATAAAAAAATAAATTTTAAATCTTAAAAAGAAAAAATAAAGAAACAAAATGACATTTAATAAAGAATGAAGTGAGTTCCACATAAATGACTGGGAGTTTAGCTTGAAGGTGAAAAAGTGAACACTAATACACACATTCAGAGGAAGAGAAGCTATAAATTTTAACCCACTATAGTTAATGTTTAAATGTAATGTATTAAAATTTTTGTTTTCATTTATTTTTTTAAAATATGTTTTTATTGATTTTTTTTAGAGAGAGGGGAAGGGAGAGGAAGAGAGAGAGAGGAACATCCATTGGCTGTCTCCTGCACACCCTCTACTGGGGATCAAGCCTGCAATCCCAGCATGTGCTCTGACCAAGAATTGAATCACTGACTTCTTGATGTATGGGTCAACACAAAATCCATTGAGCCACACCAGCCAGGCAAACTTTTTTGTTTTTAGAAAACCTGTTATTTAATGTTAAAAATTAATTCAAATTGGATAGAAAACATATTTTTGTCTTTTTTGGGGGGGGTACGTGCCCCTAGCGGGAACCGAACCCGGGACTCTCTGGTGTGCAGGCCGATGCTCTAACCCCTGTGCCAAACCGGCCAGGGCCATATGTTTGTCTTTACATCCATCCCAAACATGGAAAACTGTATATAATACATTAAACCTTCAATATTCACTTATGATAATACAATAGATTCTTCTGCATATCAGTTCTCCCACCAAAAATCCATTGCAATTCCTATTATCTTAATCCCTAGAAATCATTGCAATTGTCATGCAATAAGTTTCTAAATGGAATTTCTATTTGTTGAGAAATCTGGGATCTTTATATGGGGCTGCAGCAAAACCATTTACACGCTGGGATTTTTTGAAGTTAATTTTTAGGTGAAATTCATATAACATAAAAATAACCATTTTGAAGTAAACAATTTAAAGAGATCTAGAAAATCTATGCTGTTGTACAACCATCACCTCTATCTAGTTCCAAAACTTTTTCATTATTCCAGAAGGAAACATCACACCCATTAAGCTGTTTTCCTCCCTCCTCCAGTGCTTTCTGTCTTTATCGATTTAACTATTCTGGATACTTCATATAAATGTGGTAACTAAATATAGCCACAAAAACAGGAAATCATATGCACATCAAGAATCACAAGAGATAAGGGCAAGGGGTGAAGGACAGGACAGATGTGGTTTAAGGGTAGAGACTTGCAACAAGCAGTAAATAAGTTGTAAAGATCTAATACACAGTATAGTGAATGTGGACAACAATATCGTATTACAATCATCAAGCTTGCTACGAGACTACAACTTAATTATTCCAACCAGTAAAACGAAATGATAATTATGCAGTGACAGAGGTGCTAATTATCGATACAAGGGCAATCATATTACAATGTATAAATGTATTAACATGTACACCTTACATTTACACAGTGTTATATGTCAAATGTATTTCATGAGACATACCATAAAATAACTGCTTTTGTTTAAAAAATGTTAATATCATGAAGGACATGTTAAAAAAACAAATATTCAACAGAGTAAAACTGAAGATTCTAACTGGCTTTATTAAATGATTCACTAATCAGGCAGTATCCCACCCAGCAAAAAAAAAAAGGAGCTCTGAGGAGCTGTACTAAGTGAAAAGTTTTTAAAGGCTGAAAGGAGGTGGGACAAGCAAGCCATAAAGAAAAGAAAGGATCGTTTCAGGCAAGATTTCCTTTCTTTGGGGAAAGTGCAGAGTGGTCTAAAATGCAGATCACCTCACTAGTGCTAATTGGGAAATGTCATATTGGCTGGTTAAAGGGCACATTCCTGGAAGAGATTGAAACTGCAATTAAATCTTGGTTTGCTGTCCTGAGGGCAAGTGACTCTATGTGTGGTCTGCTTATTTATTAATTTTTTTAAAACAATTTCCCCCATTTTGATCAGATCCTCAGCCTGAGAGACTGGTGATTAAAATTGAAGGCATTTGGGCCCTAGCCAGTTTGGCTCAGGGGTTGGAGTGTTGGTCTGTAGACCAGAGAGTCCTGGGTTTGGTTCCTGCTAGGGGCATGTACCAAAAAAAAAATAAATAAATAAAATTGAAGGCATTTGGCTCTGGCCAATTTGGCTCAGCGATTAGAGTGCTGGCCTAAGGACCGAAGTGTCTTGGGTCCAATTCTCAGTCAAGGGCATGTATCTGAGTTGCAGATTCAATCCCTGGCCCCAGTCAGGGTTGTGCTGGGGGGGGGGGGGGCACGGCAGTGGTGGTTAATTAATGTCTCTCACATAGATGTTTCTCTTTCTCCCTTCCACTCTTATCTTGAAATCAATGGAAAAATATCCTTGGGTGAGGATTAACCCATATATATATGTGTGTATATATATGTATATATATATATATATTTAAGGCATTTGCACCTTAAACTACAGAGCTACTACTCTGTAGTTTTCACAGCTTTAATTGATTATCTGTGTGATTTATTTTTGTTTTCTGATTCTCTATGGATCATGACTTCAGGTTCATGATTTTTAAGTTGGTCATTCTCTTCATTTATTTTCGGATGTTCTAGTCTTAGGAAGATCATTTGCTTGCTGGTGAGCCACTGAGAACATGCATTTAAAGCCTCTGAGAATATAGCATGCCAGATGATTACTATGATACCATGAGCAGGATAATTCCCACTGTCTGCAGTGCACTTTGGAGTCACATCATAGCTAGATGTTTGAGGAAACTAGAAGTCAGGATCCAGTCCAGTTTACAAGTATATAACAAAACCTCAAAGGCAATCAACGGGATTAGAAACTAGTATCTACATAAGTACCAACATAATTTTTCTTTCTACAGTTACCCCCATTTTTTTTTAACCAAAGACAATCACAGTAAAACTAATTTGTTTGCATTAAACTTGGCTTAATGCAGCTAAAATAGTGATTGATCATAAAATCTCTTTCTTTTTTTTTTTTATCCTCATCCGAAGACATTTTTCCACTTTTTTATTCAGATAGAGCGGGAGGGAGAGAGAAACATCGACGTGAAAGGGACACATCGAGTGGCTGCCACCCCTATGACCCTACCAGGGCCAGGGACCAACTGCAACCAAAGTACATGCCCTTAGCGGGAACCGAACCCGGGCCTCTGTGGACCGCAGGCCGACGCTCTAACCGCTGAGCCAAACCGGCCAGGGCATAAAATCTCTTTCTAAGACTGCTGTCTGGATCCTTTCATAAGGAATCTCAGACTGAACCCTCTTTTTTTTTTTTTTCAATATGTTTTTATTGATTTTTGTGTGTGTGTTTTTTTTTGGTATGTGCCTCTAGCAGGAACCGAACCCGGGACTCTCTGGTCCACAGGCCAACACTCCAATCGCTGAGCCTAACGGGCTAGGGCTTTTTTTTTTTTAAAGAGAAAGAGCTAGAGACACCAACAAGAGAAAAACATTGATTGGCTGCCTACTGCATGCCCCCTATTTTGGATCAAGCCCAAAACCCAGGCATGTCCTGACCGGTTATCTAACTGGTGACCTCTTGGTGCAACTAACTAACCAACTAAGCCACATCTGCTGGGCTCAGACTGAACTCTTAAAGGCAATGACCAGCCATCAGATTTTACCTGCAATACTATTTCAGTCAAAGCCTGGATAATATAGCTATTCTTTTGGATCTCAAATAAATGTTAGTTTTTTCTCTCTCTCTCAGCATGTGCTTGGGTGAAAAGAAAAAAAAAAAAAAGAAAGCCCTAACATCTAACTGGACTGTTCATCCAACAGAGGATTTGCAATTAAAAAAAATTACCAGGAAGTGAAGGAGAAAACATTTGTTGTGGGCAACTACCACAAAATTCTGGATCAGACCTATATGATCTATACCTTCATTATTCCTTAATTTAGTTTCTCTCTCTCTTACAAATAACATACAGGCAAAGCATTCACTATAACAGT